AAAATATTACCTACATATCTGTGATGGTTAGAGTTTATTCAACTAGACACTCTTTGCTGAAGGTTGATGTGGAGCCCAACTTATCGATTATGTTGAGGCCACATAGAATGTGGCCCCTTGGGGCTTTGGCCATTTGTACATTAGTATAGGAGATGAGGAGCAGAGTTGAGCATTCCTGCTCCTTTGCCTTCATCAATCACTTGTTCTGTTGCCTGCCAATCCCAGGAAGCACCAGCAGACCACTCGACCTTGATTTCATTTGGTGGCCCTTAGATGTATTTACCTTTGTATCCACCAATCTGTGGCCCTCCAGCTTTGTCATCCGGCTTCCTGTTCATCAGCTTCCACAGTTAGGTGAAGCCTTTGGCTTACATCCATCTGATCTATGGATTCAAAATGTACTGTATCCACCAGCCTGCTGTACTACTGCTTCATCATCTTGCTCCTGTTTGTCAGATTCCACAGCTAAGTGCATCATGAAAAGCCTTTGGCTTAATCTGACGGATGGAATTGAAGTGAACTGGACTTACCTACTTTAACAACTGTGTAAGGCATTTATTGATATAAATCTCTTTCTTTATACATACACATCCAAGCATCACAGGTTTTGACTTTTCTAGAGCACCCAAGCTGACATACATCTCAGGCACAAAGACAGAAATAGGTTAAAACCAAGGTTGGAAATGCTGGCCCTCTCTGTCTCTTAACTGGTTCATTTAGAGACCATTTGCACCCAGTGTGATTATCAGTAGGTATGAATTTACTGCTGCTATTTTCTTATTCTTTGTTTATGATGTTAAGATTCTTTCTTCCACTAAATTTTCTAGGCTTTTATTTTTGTTTATTGATTTCCTTTTTTATCCTCATTGTTCTTCATTTTGAGTTTACTGACTCTTTAGTTTGATAAATAAATTTATTAATAGTTCATACATGCACAGTTTTATTCCAAATACGATATTTTTATCCATGCCTCTGTGATTCTTGGTAATACATGTCTTACTCTCATTGGGATGCCTTTTAAAATTATTTTTAAAACCTAATGTAAACAGGGGCTTCTGAGGGGACTTACTGGTAAGGGAGGTCAGTTCAAAAGGTTATGACAATTGTTTGGTGGACTCCAAAGGGCTAATCTTGATTGACTTATTTGAAGGACATTGGATGATCATAGGGCTTATTCAGAAAAGGTTTTTTTGGGTTTTTTAAATCATTTTATTAGGGGCTCATACAACTCTTATCACAATCCATACATACATCAATTGTGTAAAACGCATTTGTACATTCATTGCCCTCATCATTCTCAAAACATTTCCTCTCCACTTAAGCCCCCAGCATTGGGTCTTCATTTTTCCCTTCCCTCCCCACTCCCCCCTCCCTCATGAGCCCTTGATAATTTATAAAAATTATTATTTTGTCATATCTTGCCCTGTCCCAATATCTCCCTTCACCCACTTTTCTGTGGTCCGTCCCCCAGGGAGGAGGTCACATATAGTTCCTTGTCATCAGAAAAGGTTTTAAGAAAATTAAAAGCTATTGGTGAGGAAAAGAACAAGAAATTTGTGCCAAGGAATTATTTGTTCATCGTGATAATGGACCTGCTCATTCTTCAAGGGTATCAAGGGCTGCTCTAGAATAATTTTTTTGGGAAACGTTATCCTTTCCTTCCTACAGT